GTATCTGACTGCCGTTGTAAGTTGCACACATGTGATACAGATGTGCTCTCTTTGCTAACCGTCTGATTGCAGTCATGTCTTACATCTGTTTTTTATCCCTTCAGCACTGATGAACACAGCTAATCAGAAAACAAACGATTCTTAACTCTCACACATGCTGTATCAATACCATTCTCTCAGAGTTCAAGTCAGTAGAAAGCACTTTAATACTTTTGTTTTTTTTGTATTTTAATTACATGTATGGGAGTTAATTATCAAAAGATATATCTGTATATATAAAGATATATCTGTAGGGGAAAAAAAACATTCTTCAGGAGAAGGAGAAGACTTCAGTGTTATTTCATAACACTTGGGCACGATCCATTACTTAAAAAAATTGTAATTGAAAGACGTGGGTGAAACTTTGTTCTGTTCTATGGATAAGTGATTGGGTTTTGTGTTTTATTTGTGCTCACTAACAAGTTTTCCCACACACTAGTCCTACAGTCCTAAATAACTCAACCCAATCTCAAGTGTAGGATTATTACCTTGAAGTCTGGTCATTATATTGGCATTAGTCTTTAAAGTATGCACATATGCTGTTCATGAAATTAATTGTGGTATACATTAAAAAAATCCCCACATTTTGTGGATCTTAGTCTATATTTATTTTTTTCTTTGAGTCCGATTGTGGATAAACTACCAGTGGGGACAAAAATCTAAATAAACGGCTATCTTTTTAACTTATTTGTGTTGCTTTTCAAAAAAATTTAAAACTAAAAATTGAATTAATAGATTGGGCTTTAAAAACTACATTTCAAACTGAATTCATACTTCCTAGTATCGTTAGCTGGCACTTTCAATAAAAGCTGTGGCTGTCATGTATCCATAATTTTCACTTTCAAGTGCCATATTTTAGTCCATATGATACAATTTCTATAAGGTCTTGAAAAATTACTCAAACTAACTCCAAATGCAAAACAGCATAATACATAAGTTTCAGAAGAGTCAGAAACAGTAAGTGCAGAAAGTGGTAAACAGCCTCGGTTGTCTGGCTGTTGCTTGCCAGTGGTTTTACCTGTAATTTTTGTTGTGGTTTCCAAGGTGCAAGAAAGCTGAATGGTCATTCATCAATTTGATGTAGCTGGTTATTCCTATTCAGGCTCCTAAATAATGTTTGAGTATTAGAAACCAACCATCCGAGTAATTGGCATCTTGTTTCAGCTTTGGGCGCTGTAAAGGCATTCCTTGATTAAGAATGAAGTAGGAATTTAGCACTTTGTGTTTGGTCAGTAAGAAGAAAAAAAAAGTTGGCCAGCAGTGCATAAATCCATATAATTATTTACACAAATGAAAAGTGTAGTATTGAGATTTTATGTGATACAACAACACAAAGGAGTGCATAATTGTGAACTAGAAGGATAAGCGAAATAATGCCTTATTTTTATATTATTTTAAGATAGAAATCAAAATAATTTAGTATTTATCCCACCTTAAGTTATATTCTAAAATTCAAATACATTATGCATTCAAATATATTGATAGGGAATGTTTTATGTCAGCATTCATTTGCTATTGTTTTAAGTGTGCAGTAAAAAATGAGAGTAATTTTTTTTAATTTGGTTTACAGCAGCCAAAATAATGGAACACAATAGATAAAAACAGGTTTTCAAATGAGCAACATTTACAAAAACACAACTCTGAAATCAATGACGTTAATAGGAGCATCAGCATTAGTTTTTACTTATTGCCAATGTAATTGTTTTGTTTTTAAGGCCTATTATTTGCAAATATGGCTGTTATGCAACCAACAATGAAAAGGACAAATTGTGCACAGTGATTGGCACAAATTGCATACAAACAACAACTAATTGTTTTCTATAAGAGTGCCAGATTTTATGTATAACTTCCTTTGCAAAAGCTTGGCCAGTACAGACTGGGGTTCAGTAATTTCCATACTGTCGATTTTTATAAATCTTTTATGATGGATGAAAATCCAATACTTTAAAACTAATTAAATAATTGCTCATTTTAAATATCAATGAAGTTTATTTGTATAGCACATTTCAGCAACAATGCAGTTCAAAGTGCTTTGCATCATAAAAACAAAAACAAAGTGATAAAAGCATCACACAGGTAATAAATATATTGACAGTTTGCAACAAGCAGGCATTCATAGTGTATGAATAAAATATGAAAGTTTTATGTACAGTAAAATGTGATTTCTTGTTGTTGAGATTTAATTACTAATGTTTCCAGACCAAATTCATCTTATTTATTGTTTTAATATCAAATGTATGGCAAAATTTTCAAAGCTGGCAGTAAAGGGATAAGGAAAATCACTACTCCACAAAAAAAAATAAAAAATCATGTTTATGGAGAAGATCCTATTTGTCACACTATAAAAGGAAAACATCAAAGGATGTGGGTGCATTCACTCAGGGAAAGAAAAGCATAGCATGTGATAGCAACCGGCCAGCCATGATGTTTGCTGTTGTCGTTGGACTATTAAAAAACCCTAAACCTGCGCTCGCTCAGAGCGGCTCAGTTGTGTTGCAGCTGAATCTGTGCTGCAAATCTCTCTAAACTGTTCTGCGGGGGTGTCTTGTTTCACTTCCATGTCACCTGGCGTGAAAGACAAATTACTTCTCATACCGAGGCCAATGAGGCTTTGTAGACCGCATAGACACTGCCAACGTCTTGCAATACAGATTCAACAGTCTCCTCATTTTTTTCGATCCTACAAAGCACCACATAAATCACTCGTTGGTGCTGCTGTCAGCAGAAACTAGTGACAATATGCAAATCAATACATAGACATATCCATAAAATCCTGTTCTCACTGTATAAACCACAGGAGGTCAGGGGCGAATTTGCCTTTTTCTCTGAATTCCTGCAATTTTAAGCATTTTTTCCCCCCCAGTAGTTATATCTCTTACATGTTGCAAGCCTGCTTTCTGTCCCCTCACACGCAAACACACAATGTACCCAGCAGCTTCAGAAGGCCATCAATGTGATGAAAATTGACAGATGTACTTAGATAATCCAGATGCTTCAGAAGGTCAAACCAATTCATTTGATGTAGTCATTTTGTCCATGTTTCTGAGTATCAGTGGTGTGGATGTGATTAGAATGATGAAGCCACCAGTAAAACATCCAGTCCCTTGATGTCCATTGAATTAGTTACTGTATTTTTTTTTTTTTTTGCTAAACACCTATTTTTTTACTAAACACCTTTTTACAACTTACTAGTTACTCCCGAGTGACACTGTTCGACTGTGGAGAATGTGCTTTTTCTTCGTGAGGTTTTGACGTCGACCATTCTTGTTTCAGTAAAGACTACATGCAAATGGAGCCGGGGGCGTGTCATCAATTGGTCTCACTGACGGAAAGCTTTGCCACATCACACCTAGTATCTACGATTTAATGCAGCTTGCTAATGACGAGGCTGCAGTGGCGCAAGCCAGCTGGAGACTGAGGTCTTCTGGGAAATCAGTGCCAGATTGGCTGGTGATGGGGGGGGAAACTTGTCCAATTACTAGTCAGGAAGGGGCCTGTGTGTTGGGAGAAATTCATGATGGGGTAAAAAGAAAAACAACCCAACAACATAAGAGTCTGCTGGCTTAAAAGGATAGTTCAGAAACTCAGTTAGCTGCAGTAATGTCTTACTCTGGTGTCTTCATTTGGTTGAAATCCAACTAAAACCAAGCCATTTTCAAGACTGCTTGCAGTAGTTATAATAACTTGGTTTTCAAACATTAAAAGACCCTTCCAGGCACATCTTTCTATCAGTAAACATGGCAGACAGACATGATGGATTCAGTATCACTTTGGGTTCACCCAGCATTTGCTTCACCAGAAAGAGGACCAGCACCAGAAAGAGGAAGCATAAATTGAGCGCCATAAAAAGCAAAAATCCTAAAATAAAAATGAATAAAATGGTTCCAAATAATGAATTCATCATACTTTTTAAAGCTGCATCTTTACACCATACAAACACTGATTGCCTTTCAGGTGTGGAGCTCAAAGCTGCCTCTACTTCAGCATATGAATTTTAAGCAGAGCTCTGCAGCAGTATCAGGCTCTCATAAATAATTCTGCACCCAAAAGGTCAAACATGCAGGTAAAGTAAACAAGATATATGTGTTTTTGAGCATATGTACAGTTTGTCAATTTTTGTGTTTTTTAATGAAAAGTAGCTTCATGAACTGTATGTGTAAATGAATTTATTGCCTTGTCTCTGATAACATGAGTTACATGCCCTAAAACTGGATTTGAGTTTTTATTAGCTATAAGCTGCAATCTTGAATCCTTAAATATTTCATCCAATTGTATAATATTTAAATTTCCCTTTAAATTACTGAAATAAATTCGCTCATTGATATTCTAATCCTATTGTGATGCACCTGCTCCCCTCCAGTTCAGGGCAACAGTCAAAACTGACTGGAGCTTTTTGATCAGCTACAGTATTTCTTTTTATGTCAATTTGAAGATGTGAATACGGAATATTATGATTTCACAGCTTTAAAGGGGAGAAATGCCGAGGTGAAAATGATCAGCAGTGATCCTAAAAAGCAAGTACCTGTCGAGTTTCCACTAGATGGCGCTGTTCTTCCATCTTCCCGTTAATCACCATCAACAAAAGTTACGAAATATAAATTTATACACCATGCATTGACATTTCAAGCGCTTCTAAATTTGTGAATGGATGTGACACAAAATCTGAATGTCAATGAGGCGGTGCAGAAAGATCAGGTTTAAGATTATGATAAAATATTCCTGAATATTTGGTGTGGAGATCAGGAAAAATAAATAGATTTCCGTTTTTATGTCTTTGGTTAAGCTTGGCCAACGTTTGCGCTTTCCTCACTCGGGGAAGTTCTGCGTGGGGTTACAGGCGGCTAATGTCGGCGGACTGGATCCCTTGACCTGGATCAAAGTGGCGGCGCGTCACCGCGGTGGGCGTGGCTAACCGTGAGCGATAACGGCTGTGCGCTCGGTTACGTTGCAGTCTGAGGTGCAGCCTGACTCAAGAACATAACGAGAGCGGAGCCGCTGCCCGTCTGGGTCTGGATCCGGGTGATGAGAGCCACGAAGAGCTTTGTTTTCACGGCGTCGTCTTGTTTCCCACCGCATCATCAAAACCGCTCTCGGTCTCCTTCGCAGTGGAACTGCGGCTCTCTCCAACTATGGATTGCTTAATTGAAGTTGGGCCACCTGATCCTGCTTTCGCCGGGGCAACCCCGTGATATTTAGCGAAGGGAGAGAAGTCGTTATGAGCAATTGTGAAAGCGGAGGATTTCCTGCGCAGAGGCAACGATTTCATCCTGAGGACACAACCTTTTCACTGTGCGTAACGGACATCGATGCAACGGAGCTGTTTGCAACTAAGTGAAATGATTGGCGCAATGTTCTAGCAGACACAGAGAGGCTCCTTAGTTAGTGTGGAGAGTTTTGTTTGTGACAGCTTTTATTTCTCTCTTGTGCGCGCAGCCTGATTTACGCACCAGTCTGAACCGCCCCGCGGTCAGATTACCTGGGAGGCTTTTGAACTTTTCTCCGCAACTATTTTATTTTAAAGCTGAACCCATGGCTTTGCCGGACAGTGGCATATCTGGAGAGGAAATCCCTTTCCCAGAAATAATAGAGCTCAATGTTGGTGGCCAGGTGTACATAACGCGCTACTCTACCCTCACCAGTGTGCCGGACTCGCTGCTGTGGGAGATGTTCAGTCAGAAGTCAACCAAAGGGCTGGCCAGGGACACCAAGGGGCGTTTTTTCGTGGACCGCGATGGTTTCCTGTTCCGCTACATCTTGGACTACATGCGGGACCAGCAGCTGGTTCTCCCGGACCACTTCCCGGAGCGCGGGCGTCTGCAGAGGGAGGCTGAGTTTTTCAACCTGCCGGAGCTCGTCAAGCTGCTGGCGCCCAAAATCAGCAAGCAGAACTCGTTGGGGGACGAGGGGTGTCCGAGCGACCCGGAGGACTCCTCACCCGGGATCGACTCGGCGCGCAGCCTGGGCTCCCTGGGGGCCGCAGCGGCCGCCTGCGCCAGCCTGGTGCCCGGTGCCATGGACGGGAAGCGCTCAGGGTTCATCACCATCGGCTACCGGGGGTCGTACACTCTTGGCCGTGACAGCCACACCGATGCCAAGTTCCGTCGGGTGGCACGGATCATGGTGTGTGGGAAGACCTCCCTGGCCAAGGAGGTGTTCGGAGAGACCCTAAACGAGAGCCGTGACCCGGACCGCCCCCCAGAGCGCTACACCTCCCGCTACTATCTGAAGTTCACCTTTTTGGAGCAGGCCTTTGACAAGTTGGCAGATGCGGGCTTTCACATGGTGGCCTGCAACTCCACAGGAACCTGCGCCTTTGCCCATGAACAGACGGACGACAAGATCTGGACCAGCTACACTGAATATGTGTTCTACCGTGAGTGAGATTATCGGCTTTATTCCCCTGGCCCCCTTCACCCTGTCTCCAAGAGACCACCCCCCCCTCTCCTCCAGCCTCCAGCCATCCTGTCTATCTCCCTGATGGCTTTGTTCCAGTAGATGTACCGTAGATGTTGTGTCCCCCTCCCAGACCCATTTTTCTTTGCAGCCTCCAGCTTTTATCCTTTGAACATTACCCAGCTGCTGCTCCGACTCTTCATGCCCCCGCCTTCTGCAAGTCCAGTTTGAAGCTTTCCCTTTCAACCCCCAAATCCATCCCGGTCATCCTCAAGTCCAGCCTCGCCCTCTCTTCTGTCGCCCGGCCGTCTAGTTGTAGTTCCCTCAAAACTCAGCCACAGCAATCCATCACCCTTCTCTGCTGAGACTGACACCTTCTATGTATTATTCTCCTTTGTGTCCTACATATACATATCTACTAAATTTACTGTATTTTCCTAAAAACATAGCCAGAGTGTTTCTGTGTGGCTATTAAACTCAGTCATAAAGGTATAAAGAAAAGGGCTGAAAGAGTTGTAGTAATGTGCCAAGCTACTCTTCCCCTGCTTACTCAAGCAGATCGGACTCTCTCCAGCTCCTCTGAACTAAATTACCAAATAATTGGACATCTTATCAGCCTTGAGGGGCTCGAGCAGCCCCAGCACAAGATAGAAGTGTAATCTAATTTCCTTCATTTTTTTATGTTTTATTTTTACTTTATTCTATTAAATGTGTCCAGTACCATGTGGTTTGGGAATGTGCCATAGTTAACTTGTGCGGTTTGTTGTTTTAAAATGGATGAGGTTGCTACAGCATTGCAGACTTGAGGGGGGGAAAAATGCAGCAAACCTGTTTTGAAAGAAGGGAAAATAGAAAGCTGACCGAGTGTGGAGTTTATATTTCAGAAACAAGACGGTTATGTGGCAAATATACAAGCACAAAACCTGCATGGTGAAGCTCAAGCATCAGAAGATTTTCTAGTGAGAGAAAATAAAAAAAGGATTTACTGATTTATTGACAGAGTGGAAAGAAATGTATGGTTTTTTTTTGTTTGTTGTTTGCTATACTTTTATGTTAAAACATTAAAAAGTTTTTTTTTCATACTACAAGTCATGTCTTGTGAAAGGCCTGCTTCCTGTAGTAGTCACCATAGCCAGCCATGTTTTTGAGAAAAAAACAAAACAAAAGAAAAACATTTAATATTATTCTCAATAATTGATTCAGTATTTGAAGGTTCTGTGTATTTGTTGATAGTGCTCGCTTACTGTAAGTGAATACCCAGCAGTGAGGGTAGGATTACCCTGTCTGCAGGCAAAGCCAGTTGTCTTCTCATGACTGAAGCAGAGGTTGCTGTAAATACAGCTGCTATAAATGGGGACATGACAAAAGGAGAGGTCTGAATTCTTACTGGGGTTCTGTCAGAAGGTCTTAAACATTATCGCTCAAGGCAGATTTGTATTGTCTTAAAACAACACAAGCTCAGAAATGTATTAGCTGTTCATCCAAATTCTGTCTATTTTATGAACCTTTAAACATTGGTTGGTTATTTACAACGATGGGGGTTTTTTTACGCTGGAAAAAGAAGTTGGAAGTTGTGCACCATCAATGGTCTGCCCATTTGAAACATACATGGAATATTTAAAGTGTTATAACACACTGTTAAAATAAAAAATATGACTTGATGTGAACACTATTACCTACATGAACACACCAAGAAAGCTATCTACTTCAGATGAGGTAAGCTATTAACTGCTCACAAGCATTGAACAGAACCCCACTTTAGAAATCCTGAAATATCACTTTAAAGTTTACTATTCGAGAGTTGCATCTGGCATCAGGACAGGTCTACTCTATCATGTACCTCAGACTAAAACACATTTAAAGCCAATGAAGCATCCAGCTCATTATGTGAAGTGCTAGAAGAAGTCTGGCTTGTAGATGGTTTGATCAAAAGTCAAGCCGTGTTCAGTCTAAGCAAGGTCGTAGATTAATTGGTGACAATGAGTGTTTTATGAAAGATTTCAACATCATAACATTGTGCTTCAGTGTGATGCAGTGCTTTGTTTTGGATGCTCTAAATCAGAGTGTTGAGCCTGCTGCAGTGTGTAGGTTACATTGAGGGTTAGCAGAAAGCAAACTGATATATTAAATAAAATCCTACTCTCTTCTGGTTCATTTTCTTTGAAAACAAAACTCTCAGAGTTCAAGAGTGAAAAGCGCACCTGCATCACGATTACATGTGTTTCATTTTCACTAGAAATGATTCGCAGTCATAAATTAAAGGAAACGGGCTTTCACAATAAGAAGAAGTATCATTAAATGTTTAGCTCTCTCCCCTCAGGCTCTGTTTTTCAGCTTCCCATCGGCTACTCTCTTTTTTGCACGTTTTTTCTTTTGTTTTTTTTTTCATCATTTTGTTTTTCTCAGCTTGGTCTCATATTGAACACTTGATCAGAAAAAAAACAGAGCCAAGACAGAATTGAGGACATGCATAGATAACAAGCTCTCTTAAACCAGATTACAAAACCCTTGTTTCGTTGCCTTTAATAGACCCAGTTACACCACACAGTACAAACTGTGAAGTCGACTCGATTCAAAGTTAAGGACCAGCGAAGCTCTGCGCTGCTTAAGGCTTCCTGCGGAGCAACAGTTTGCTTGTGTCTGCAGGTTCAGAGCAGATTTTGTGTTCAGTGTTACACCTGAGTGCATTCACAGACGACAAAGCCATCACAGTTTACGCTTGAATAACAATCATGCTTATGTCGGTGAAGCATTCAATTGTCATTTTATGAACTCTGAATCGTATTTGTCTTTTCATCGAGACATTATCAAATGCCAATTGCTTCAGTATAACACCTCAAAACCAATCTCAGTGTGGCCTAGATAAATGCATCGCTGATGAGCCCCATTAAAGTTGTGAAACATAAAAGTGGCTCCCTTCTGGGATAACAGATGAATTTTTATTTTTTTTTTTGAACGAGGCCACATTTTTGTCCTCAGAGAAGAGGACAGTATACGCTGTCAGCAGTCTCCCAAATAAACACAGCCACCGGCAGCATTCCTCTGGCACTGCTCTCCGGCATGCTATGGCAACACTGGGGTACCGGAGTCGGCCATTAGCTCACGCATGGAAAGACGAGCCTCGTGCGTAAAATTCCAGGTACCGCTGTCTATCTTTATACCCAAGAACGGCCTTGAGGTTCGACATTCAACAGAAGGCGAGTGGGGAGTGTTGGCAGTCAGACATTAAACAGGAGCAGCAGTGATGTACACAGGCCACACTGTGATGATGAACTGCTTTTCTCGGCGCTGTTGCGAAACTTGGCTTAAAAGTGAAGCATACCTTCGTGTGAGAGGCAGGCTGTCTTTGTCTCTATCCAGAGTGTTTCAATAAAGGGATTTTACAATGACATGTTGGCTTCATTATTCTCTCAAAAACAACAATCAAGGGAAGTTTACCTTTGATTATGTATAAAAAAGGAAGAAAGTGTGCGATACCTTCATTCTTCTAGAACCTTTTCACATTTGGACACTAATTTCACCTGGAAATTCAAAACTTTAACGTTTTGTGTTGTTTTTATTGCAACAGAGTGGCACAGAATAGAGCATAAGGGTCACTTGGATTTAGTTCTGCTGGTGAGTTTGCCTTTATCTCTATAACATGTTGCTCTGACTTTATGCTCTGAATTATTGCCCTGTTGTTCGGTGATCCTCCTTGTAGTTTGTGGCAAACCAAAAACTGCATCTCTGCAGGTCATCCACAGTTGCCACTGGCCTCTTGGCTGCTTCTCTGATTAATGTTCTCCTTACCCCAGCATGTCAATGTAGCTGGTTGGCCAGCTGGTTTGCAAAATCCCATCGTCCATACTCTACAACCCAACCCTCCTTTAACCTTGTCCATCTGCCTGTTCTGATATGATAAATTGAAAATAACTTCATCGGGTGTGAAGGCATTTCCAAATCAATGCGACACAGTGTTGTTTTAGAGTGCTCTTGTTATTCAACCCGTCGTTACTGTGGCCAGCTTCACTCCTTTCATCTGATTCTTGACTCTTAGCCAGCTGGGTCACTTCTCCTGTATTTGTGGGGGATAAAAGGAAGATAGAGGAGGAGAACAGGATGACATGCACATCCCTTGAATGAAAAGCACGTGGAAAATAGGACAAGTCTACACCAAATACTTGGGTCGAAGTGAGAGGAATCTGGGAGTATTTAACTGACAAAGACTTGCGGCTCCCAGCTGATCTCGCCTTCTTAACAGCCCCAGCATTAGCTGTCCTTTTGTTTGGAGACATTCAGGATTGCACTGATAAAGTTCTCACAGGACCAATTCTGAAATGTGTTTTTTTTTTCTTTCTTTCTTCCTGTTTGTCGTCAGCATGTACAGATTCTGTTACCGACAACACATGGCACATTGCATGCTACAAGGCTGTGCAGGAAAGCTCATATAATGTTTAAATTGAAATTTTATTTTTGCTAAACTTAAATAAATGAGTGGATTTGTATGTTGCCCAAGTAAAAGAGAACCGAATCTGAGATTTACTATGAAGAAAATACAAACCCCTATGCATTTTATAACTGAGGACTCATTTATTTTATAAGCCTGGATGGTTTTGGTGGTTGAGTTTTCCTCATTACTAAAGATGAAATATTATGTCAGACACTTGCTGTATTTCTATTGACCATAAAATTGTACAACTTGATATTACAAAAAGAAATAGTCTGAACGGAAATATGCCAATTAAAAAAACAAAAAAACTCAAGGTTTTTGTTGCGTTGCGATGAGGTGAGTTTTCACCCATACCGAAATAGACATATTTCACAGATCTGCTAAAACTCTTTTGCATCACATGAGTAGCGTGATCATCAGCTGGGTGTTACAACTGGCGAAAGCCACGAAGAAGATGACAGAACGTAGTAGGAAGATGATGATTTGTTTTTGTTTTTTGGACAGTGTGCAGCTGGCTCTCACAGCTTTGCATTATTCATAAAAAGTCATTT